GGCTGCAGTGCTGTATGTCTCTGTCAATTACCATGTGCAAGTAACTACATGACTGTATATCATTCCAGTTCTTATAGTGTATTTTAGTAGTCTCCATAGTCTAGTTGCCTATGTATGTGATATAAGCTCTGAATGATCTGCTATTTTATAACAGGATATAACAAGTGTTAGCAACAATTGTTTTAGTAAAGCTGTTGGTCCACCCTGACACCACACCTGTTCTGGATTCTTCAATTTTTGTCTTCTAGATGACTTTTTTGCAATTTCCTGTATGTGATTTAGGTTCTCTGCTTTCCATTTCCTTTTAGACTTTTTGTCAATTTCTCTTTCGTGTTCTGGGTTGGTCATTTTCCTTCTTGTATCAGTTTGCTTCTTTTTCTCCCTAATTGTTTCAATATTTCGTACCTTTGCATGAAATTTTGACTCTCTCTTTTTCTAAAATCTGCACTAGCTCTTCTTTTTTTCATGTATTCTTTCATGCAACCTTGATCAGCTCTGTATTTTTCCTGTTTATCTTTTTTTTTTTCTTTGAACTACAGTTTGATCACATGTTTTGTTGTTTGGTACCTGACAATTCCTCGTTTCTACCGTAGAAACATAATGAGTTTTACTTATGTGTCCAATGTAAATGTTTGTGTATTCTCCTGTGACATTCATTGCTTGAAAAACAGTAACAGGAGCAAACGTTTGAAATGATTCAGCGATATGAATTGACAGATTTAGGCAATTGGCCAGTGCTTGAATTATAATTGCATCAGCCCTTGTTCCCTGACATGGCATATTGTTCAAATAGTCTTGCCAAGAATGATCAGTGTTACTCTCTATGAACTGTTCAAGGCTCTGCAGTAAAGCACTTGACTTTACGAGCACTTCCCGGGGACAGCCGAAGTACGGTCGATCTATCAATTCCATTTTCTTTGAAAAAAAAAAAAATGAACCATGACTGAGGATAACCATAAAAAACCTTTTATTGTTTAAGCTACAAACTGTAAGTGCTTACCTGGCAATGGCACGAAGGCTTTTTCTCACAACAATGAACGACTCCAGTCCAGAAACGTTCGGCAAGCCATTCGTGGGCTCAAACTTTACGAACCACTTTCCAACGTCGACACAGTTCCAGGAATAGCAAACACAGCCATCTTAAAGGAGTCACTTAACCAGTGGGCCTTGCGAAGTCGCTCAGAACGGACAAACAGCTAGGTAACAACGTGACATTGATGAATATTCAAAAATTGTCACAGAGCAGCAATTAGGTGATAGAATCACATTTTCACGTCTCAAATATAATATTTGAATTGAGAAAACTTATGCGGCCTCGTGGTTTCAAATGTTTCTCGCGTTTGGAAACCTGATAAAACCCTCGCACTCGTTTTTGAAATAGTACTGTAGACTGGGCGAAACTTAGCACCAATTGAAAAGGGAGGTAGCGACAAATGGAAAAAAACTCATGCTAGGTAAACTTTACAAGCTGCTGCCACCAGGTTACATGTACTGGATGAAGGGGTTCTTTTTGTGTGTGCATATTTTCAAAATACCTACAGTGTATATATATCTATAATCAATAATCTACAGGTACTTTAAACGTGATAGAAATGGCATGAGTCTTCGAACCGTCGTTCGATTTATTATAGATGCTTTTTTGTACTCTCAATCATTTAAGGCTTATCAGAATTGGATCGCAAGGCATGGTGAGGAACCTCGACTGCCTGGAATGAATCTTACTAATGAACAGATATTCTTCATAAGCTTTGCAAGAGTAAGTAATCTACGCATAATTTCTTTGGTATTTGCACTATTAATTGACACAGCGGTTCATGTAATGATACAGCTGTCCTGTTTTCAGACAGCCGGCAAACTGCGACCCAGTAATAGATAAAGAGAGTAAGTGTAGTTATTAGACTAGTAGTACTAGTTAGTTGTGCTATTTTTGCCTGTTTGTCTGCCTTCTTCCTAATCACTGATTATCAGAGTAATTATGTAGCCAGATAGGAAAAAGCTATTAAATCCGCTGCTTAAATCAGTGGCACACATCAAATTTCACGACCTCCAGAACTCCTAACTGTATCCTATTCACAACGGTATCCTCTGCTCTCTAATATCTAAGTTTTGGGAAAACTGGTAGTGGCGACTTAAGAGGGGGTCTATTGTAAAAAAAACACCCTTACAACAAGAGAACCCAACACTCAGACCTCAACGTATAAATTGTTTATTGGTTTACTTGGGAAGAAGAACACGACTTGGAAATGCATCGGAGAACAATTTTCAATTTTGTAAGTCAGAATATAACTCAAAATTCGAATTGTGTTCTTCTAAATCCTGGTCTTCTCGGCCTTACGCGCCTACTGGCGCGTAAAGACTTGATGATAAAATCCGGGTCTTCAGAGAGCTCGACCGCTATGGTCTGGCGCGAGTGATAAATTATGCATATTTCACTCAGATGGTTAGTAATATTGCCGTCAATTCCATGAACTACATCAAACCTCACAACTGTGTTATGTAGAGTTTCAATGCGATAAAAAAAAACTGATTCCTGGCTATCAGAATCCATGTTTGGTGAGGCAAGTTGTTGTGAAATCTCATTTATCCATGCTCGAAGACGAATCCTCACAACTTCCGCCATCTTGCAGCTTTGCGAGACTAGCATTAATTTTCTTTCCGCGGCAAAAATATGCATAATTTATCACTTGCGCCAGACAATAGCAGTCGAGCTCTCTGAAGACCCGGATCTAGAAGAATATAATTCGAAGCGGTTTGCATAACACCATATGGAACAACTCAATGTGTAAATACAGAAGAGAATTGTGAACGCAGAAAACTTAATTCGCAACGAATAATCGAATACAGGGGCAACAAAAACAACAGCGACGTTTTGGCATATGGTTTTGGGGAACATAATTAAGAACACGTTAAACACAATTCGTAACATCAAAAACACCAGTGAAAACATTACAAACCGCATTGGCAAACAGCATAACTAAATCCCAAACTTAATTTGGTGGTAATGAACCCTAATACTCTACTACCTTACCACTTATTTTCGCGGGAACTGAATTTCGCGAAAATGGAACGGGCATATTTTAAATTTCGCGAGTTGCCAAACAGGAACTGTTAAAAACAGTAAATTGTCAAAATACTGCTCTTCATTAACAAACAGTTTCTCGCATAATTGGGGCAACTGATTTTTATCTTCCAAAGCAATAGTTTCCAATGACACTGCAACAAAGCAGAGCCATACAGAGTACATGGTACCGTCTCTTTGCGCTTACAGCTAAAGGACATTGTCAATTTCTTCAAATGGATCCTCGGGAGGAAGACTTGACTCACCCATATCTACCCCAGAAACTCCTCTTGCGCTCTCCCCTCTTGGCAGCGTAGCGCGTTGATTAAAAAATTATATATAGCAGAGTATTAAATTTCGCGTAGTTTATTTTCGCGAAAGCCTTTTTTCGGGGGTCTTTATTTCGCGATTTTCTGAAAATCGCGAAAATTAAGTCTCGCGAAAATAAGCAATAATAAGTACAGTTAGCTCAAACTAATAAACTTATTACTGATGCTGTAAGATTGTTTTCTAGAGTTGGTGTTCCGTATTTTCAAGTCAAGGAGAGGAATTCGCACTAATGAGTGAACACAGTCCAGCGCCATGGAGGTAATATTCTTACCATTATAAGGCAGCGTCGGTGTTAAATTCTCAACATTTTAAGTGGGATCTTAAAAGACCACCTTTCAGCTGTGACACTAAATGTTTTATCAGTGGCAGTTTTTATCGTGGCGGCAGTGACGTTGCATTTTAACATCGTCTCTAGGGTCTCCTTGGAAAATAAAACCGTTTTGCGTGGATAGGAAAATGGTATACGTTCATAGTATTTTCCTGGCAATATGGGTCAGCAACTCACTTCAGACCCTCAATTTTAAGGACTTATTTTATATTATGACACTTGTCTTTCATAAATGGGAATTAAGAACACTCTGTTTGTTTACTAATTCTTCTTTTCTCTCATTTAAGGGCCATTCCCAATGTACTGACTACCCAAAACTTTCTTCTTTCTTTTGTTAGAGCTAAAGCATCCGTGATGAACTTTCCCGAGTTTGCCAAAGCATTTAACTGTGGCAATGGAAGTCCAATGAACCCAATCAACAAATGCGCCGTCTGGTAACGAGCTGCTGGTCTAGTCCAACATCGCTATGTAGCTACTGTTTTGTGTTTGTTGTCACGTTGCGAGTTTTCTGACCTACTTTTAGCCACCTAAATTCGATGTAACTCGCTGCGATAAACACCACCTAGTACAATGAAAATCGGAGAAGGGTGAATCCTCAATACAACAACAGCGTATCGTAGTTTATTTGATTTACCACACAAGCTACAAAACGTAAAAAACGCCACTGGAAAAACGTGAGGTTATTATTTTAATGTAACAACTGTCACAAAAAAGTATTTTTGAAGTGAATATTAATAAAGTCAGTTTATTGTATAGTTCATGTCTCTAATCTTCTGTCATCGCATCCTTTTTTTTTCTATTTAATTACCATCATAAATTTATTAATTGATCAAGTCAGCCGGAATAATGAGGCCGATTCTATTGGCGATGTGCGTCACAACAGTGGCTAAACTGTTATGATGTTTTTGACAATAATAAATTCACTGACCGTGCCCTTCTTTGTAAGATCCAATTATTAATCGTGTTCGATAATTATGCCGTGTTTTCCCGGCAATGATAAAGGCTGCGTTTAGAACACTTTAAAAAACATAATTGCAACTTGTACTTTGAACAAGTTAGTAAATTATTTAAACCTCTCACTTATTTTACCTAGCAACACGGAAACAGTGTTTACCGGATTCCTCGTTTTTCTTAATTAAAGATTAATTCTTCCATCGAAGACCTCTAACATAGTAAATTTCATACGCGGCCGAACTAAAGTAAATATGAGAACTCGAGTATCTTGTCAGGTAAGAACATACGTTATGTTTCTTAATGATCGTTTTTCAACGTCGTTAAGTTGCAGCCGATGGTCTAATGGAAATGGGAATATTGCTTTAAAACATAAGCTTAAAAAATATGTGAAATAATCTGTTGTCCAAATTTGGATGTGGATTTAGTTTTATTTAAAGTATCTAGAATGATTTATTTAGTCACCTCTTACCGGCATTTCGCTACACATTTTATTCCAGACAGTTCTGTTTGTTCTGCTCGCTGTTCTTTACCTTCCTTGTCAGTCGGAGGGGCAGCAAAGTAATACTTTGTTATCTCCATCTCCTTCACTTTACCCGCTCGACCTTTCCTCACACAATGTATCGGTCCTCCTTGTAAACGCGACAATTCAAACAGGTATGTGGCTAACTCGACGGCGGTAGTAATATCGCGTGTTATTAGAACCTCCAAATACAAGAAAGGTCAGTAAGCACCCTTAAAAAGTGCACTTATTGAGATCGTTGAGACAGTTTTAAAGAGACTGTGGCATTTCTCCAGATATATCCATAGGAGTGTTGCCTAATTGTACTTAGGTGTCCCAATTAGTGTACATTGTATGCTAGCGACCTCGACACATTAATAAAGTTCTTATCTTTTTATCTTTATCTTGAACGAATTCCTGTACCTCTGTATAAAAGTATAAGTGTTGTGATTCCATGCTCCATTCTGTGGTCTGCACAGTCTTAAAACATTGTTTGGGAGGGATTTTTTCAAGACCTGCGAAAGTAGATTTTACAGGGGAGTGTCTCAACACCGCTTGTTGAGGTTTTTAGACCGATAGGTGTACTGAACAGATGTAGAATATATGTTAGCGGTGCCAAGATTGATACAGCTCCTTGCAGCTAAGTTTCCCGACTACGTTGTTTTCATTAGAAAGAGGAATCAAGGGAATGGAAAGTATTTCTTCAATTTAATAAAACTACTATGTAGCATATCATCAATTTCATGAAACTACAACATTCCAAAATGACGGTTTCCAAACACACGCCAAAACGAGGGGGTGAGTAGAAATACTTCTAGTCGCTTCATGCTACAGAAACTGGGATAAGCTCCGGCCTGATTGGCCACTTGGCTCGTATGCAGACTTTACCTTTACAGTTGCTCACTATAGATGGAGTAGTTTGCTGGTGAAATATTCGTCATTTGAGCGAGTGATTTTATCTTTAGCGAGTAAGTAGCCAAGTACAACTAACAAGTTTTTCATCATGAACTACGAGATCTGTAGATAGCAGCAATTAATGTTTTTCTTGTTAACGTTTAGCAGACCAAGGCTAGCTTTAGCTTTCTGAAGGTTGCACTGTTGTTGCTGCTTGTAATTAGGGATGGCCAGTAGGTGCGCGCTTCCAAAAGTTTTTGCAATATACGTTTTTCGTTTTTTTTTTTTTTTTGATTGGAAAAAATGCGTTGTTCTGGGCATTCACATGCAAGTTATCCTGGACTTCCTTTCCCGTGCGCGGGTTCAATCACAACATAGCGAAGGGAAGGAAGAAATGAGGGACTGGGTTAGGACTCTCCACGAGACATACATATGCTTTTAATAGGGGGATTCATGCTGACGTCATTGTTCACGTTTTTGCTCATTTGCATACGGCTTTGCCTACAGAAGGAAACATGCTAGATATGAATTGACTCCAAGCAGCTAAAGAGCTGGTAAAACTTAATACGTGGTGAAATTTTTAGCTCTTTGGGTGAATATTCAAGGAGATATTGTCTTTCAAAAACTGCAAAATTTCTGGTTGGCAAAAGCGCTAATTAGCTCATACATCGGGCTCATATTCATTGGCGGAGTTAATCGTACTGTGACCTTCCTATATTCAGAACTGATTTATTTGTAGCTCCATCAGAAACTGAATTGCTTATGTTAATGAGGCAAATATTGTAAACAAGGATTCCCCTATACCGGCAAAAGGGAAAGGGGGTACTTTTTAGTCATCCGATGAAATGCATTCTAGGTCTGCCAAAACTGGTACCTGTAGGGATTTGTTGAAGAATTGTGTTAGGACCTCTTTTTGTTTCGTGCGACCACGTGAGAGAATGATAACACAACTTTGTTCCCAGGGTCTCTCTTCCTCCCATGCGAGAAAAAGCTTAGTTAGATTATAGGTCACAAGTCTTAGCACTTATCATCATCTCTTCAGTGCTTAAATGCCATCGGAGCCTTCTCCTCGATGATAATCCTTTGGCGGTATGGTACTGGTACTGAACATTCAACTCATGTACCATTCAGGAACTTATTAGATTTTAACATTCTTCCAAGTCTTCATTTTTCCTGCAGTTAATTTCACTGTGAACATGAGCTCTGTTCTGAACCCAAATCGATCCAGCTCAGCAATAATGAATATGAGCGCCTCCATCATTAGCCAGATATCGGGAAGCACAAGGACAGAAAACAGTAAGTACCAATAGCGACAATAACTCTCTCCGAGCTTTTGGTAGTTAAATTAAACTTACGCGGCAAAATGAAGGAGTGAATTTGTATAGGTAATTGTATGAATGAGAATGAAATTAAGGATTCACTCTGCGAGTGATATTTGAAGTATCTCCCAAAATTGCACAAGCCTTTGGCGAGTGCAATTTGAAAGAATTATTATTTACATGTGATATTTTTCAAATATCACGGGTAGTGTAAATCCTTTATTGCAGCTTTCATACGATTACTCATTCACTCATTCAAACACCATCACCCCTACCTTTGACACCTTGTTCGTAAAAATGTTCTCAAGTTAGCAGGGGAATCACAGCCATATAGCAAACAGAGATGATTCCCAAAGACTGCGAGTGTCCCTTTCACAGATATCGAGAATTTGAAAAAATAGAGCCGACTTTTTTCAGGTTTACCCAAATGCAATCCGTGTTAATATCCAATTTACCCCATCCATGCCTTTTTAGCACTTTCTTTCGGTCTTATTAAGATTTTCGTTTTCAAACTCAAGTTTAAACGAAGAAAAACATGACCTTGATGGTGTTTGGATATCTGATCTTAATTAGCATAGATTTCTACGATTTTATATCTCCGTTTTCTTTTTAGTTTTAGATTTGATTGAGAGGATATATCAAATACTCAAAACAGTCTTTGACCACATTTTCCAACACCTCGAAGTTTGTCAAAAATGCACGTAATTTCAACCCTCGTTTTGGTGTTTGGAAATGTGGTTAAACATGACCTTTCGTGTTTGATATATTACATGACGGCCTAAGAATGAGGGAATGCGCCATCTGTGATGCTAACATTTTTTTCCCCGAATGAACAGCACTGCTCGTTTTCTCTATCTACAGATACATTCTTTGTGGAGTTCAAAGCGGAAGCGTTAACGTGGAGCCCTGATTTAACTAAGGAATATCATAACACCTTCATCAACACTGCTAATAAAATCGTTGAAATCGTAAGTCATTTTTCTAGAATAACAAAGTTGCAGTTTGATCATGCGCTGCTGTCAAATTTGCATAATGGTCATTTTAACTTCTTCAGCTAAGTGATCCTTATGGATAAGTTTTTATGGTATGGCAGGTCAAATGAGCCCAGACAGAACCTGAACGTTAAGCCCAGGAAACTCGTTGACAATTGTTTTGAATGAAGACAACGAGTTGCGCTCTTCCTCGACTTTTAGCCTTACCTACCGTGTGGCACGAAATTTTTTCAGGTTCTAATTTTGCGATATTTGCGGTTTTATCCTCGATCAGCAAAAATAAATCTAGTTCCGCAAAATTTTACTCCACTGGCGAAATTATACAAACAAACCTCACATGTAGAATCTTGTTGATGTCATTTATTTAAAAGATTTCTTTAAATAAGCGATAAAATTGCCCATGGTATACTACAGAGTGTGTCAGCCGAAATCTACTCACTCCAGATCTACCATAAGTGTAAAACAACGCTTTTTCAATTTCACGGATTGACTTAGGAAAAGAACGTGGAAGGAATGAGAACACTTTCAATTGAAGAAAGTCTTTTAATTACAGGTCCTAGGATAGAGGTCATGGCTTTTTCTATCTCTTATCCGGCTTTCCCGAAGTGGCTGATACTCCCATGACAAAAACATGTCATTTTTCTCGCCAGATATATCTACAGCTCTCTAAATGTTCTCTCTGGAGGTAGAGGGCCTAAAATATTCAGTGAACGATGTCCATTTTGAGCTATAAAAATTTAAATATACAAACAAGAAAAGATGCCGCCTTAATATTTATCAAAATGTGTACAGAATTAGAAAAACTGAAAGATAAAACTTCCTTTGACAATGCCCCTTCCCCGGACTGACTTGTTAGTGAAAATACCTTACCCCAGGGCGGGAAAACTTTCAAATAACCGAGGAGGCAGGGGCTGGCTTTACTCGCAACTGACTCGTGCCGCAAAAATGTTGCACCTTTGCAAAACAAGCTGCTCGAGAGGTCGCCTGCTGTATCACAGCACCACTGATTGTGATTTTGATCGACAAAAGTAGAACACCGTATAATGTTACTCCAAATTCTGGAAATTTGCACGCTGATTGGATAATTGACTGTTTTGTTCTGCACTACAGATCAAAACAACAACAACAACAACAACAACTTTTTATTATGACTCGCATATTTACAATTTTACAGAAATATATACACATTAAGTTAAAAAAGCTTGACATTAGCAATAGAGCGAACCCGCAGGTAGCCTGGGCTAATCTAGGCGGGCCACAGCTATATTTATATTAGACAATCCAAACATAATAAAAATAGATAAACATTTCCAGGCCGTAACCTGTGTGGCGGGCGTAAGAGAGGGGGAAAGACTACCATGCTCTGGACTGGTTAACCTTACATCATTTATGTCTCCAAGCAAATTTTATTGACTCTCTTTTCTGTTCTTTTTATTAATATGTTACTTATTAACCAGTATTTTCGACGAATATTAAAACCCTGAAGATTCTAGCCTTACTACAAGAAGTGTCAGTTTATTCATTAAGTTTGAACAAGGGTACAAATCATCGGGAATTAAACATCGTGGGCGCACTGACACTTACAAGTAATTCACTGACAAAATTTTCTGAAAAGCGTTGTAATTTGCAAATGGGACATTATGTACGACGGTGTACTACTATACACCTGATTGAAAAAGTGTTGTCCGTGCAAAAGTATAAACCATAAAAGATGCGACTTCATAGAATTATGAGAACAATGAAATAGCATGCGCACGATCATGAATAATCAAGATTGCTTCTTCGTGGCATTTAATGATCAGTTGCCTTAAGTGATGATTGAGGAAAACATAGAAACTATCCCTGCCTACCTAACGGCAGCTAGAAAACAAAAGAAAATTTAAACGCTAAGAACTTCGAGATATGCCCAAAATTTGCAACAGTACTGTTAGCGAGATCAGTTTTAATCAAGAGACGATCTTTTCGTTTTAACACATGTACACAGTCCGTAAGAATGCGAATTGATATTAGTCCGCAAGTTTCCCAGAAAAACACTGTGTCATATCATTTATTTATTGATACAAATATAATACAATATTGTAACAAATTTCAAAAGTAGTGCAAAAAAAAAGAGAGGGGTTGCAACTGATAATATTCTTAATGATTGATAATAGATAATGTTTACGATGATAAATATTACAAACAATATGTCTCTCTAGCTTTGTACAAGTGTATATAGCTGGGGGGAAGGGCAACAGAGTCAAGTCAAGTCATTTCTCTATTTCAAGCTGGATAGGAAATTTGGATATGAATTCAGGAGTATCTTGTTTCTTTTGCATCGTTTATGGTTTATACCTTTTTCATGACAACGTTTCTTCAATTAGGTGCATACTATGTTGTCGCTAACAGACGTTTGTTATGAAAACATAATAACAAACTGATAATTTTCTCTTGTCCAGATTGATAATCTTTATACAAACATGTCATTTTTCAAAGGCAGCTTCGTTATTGGCTTTAGGTATGTCATTCGTTATTTGTTTAAATCAGGTAATTCCTGTTAAGCTTTATCAGGTTTAGATGAGTAGTCTTGTATATTTCTATTGATGTTTATTTCATTGGCCTGGTGTACTGTTCACAAGGTGCGATTTACTTAATTAATATCAATTTCTGTCGTTTAAATACAGGGAGGAAGGTTACGTTTCTGTAAAGCTTCAGTTCAATGGAGGTGACATCAATAATCTGGACATCCTAATCCATTATTTACGAGATGGAGGAGGGGAACTGTTAACGGACAAAATTTATATAAAGGTCGGGAAAATAGGTGAGCAGTTTAAACTTCTGTTGTTGACTTTCCCCAGTCTCATCAAAAAACAACACAATGGCTTTGAACGAAGACCTACTAGAAAGCACAGGCCTCCCAAGCTCCTCGAAAGCTGTGAACATTTTCATATATTACACTCAGTTGCGTAACACAGCGAAGAGATAAGAGTTTGTATGGGAATGTAACGATCGTTTATAACAATTCGAAATCATGATATATAGACAGGAAAACAGTGAAACTAAAACTCGCTGAAATCGCTTTGAAAAAGCCCCTAAACATCTCCGAAACATAAGTAGTACACAGATGAGTTTAAAGAAGAAGGGAGTTTAAGCAACGACGACGACAACGCCAAGAACATCGTCAATTAAAAAAACGACGTTATATTGAACATACGAATCTCTAGAATACGCAGAATGTGGTCATTCCATGATGTTTTACTTTGTTAATCACTGTCAAAACCATCGCACAACTAAATCCAGAACACAGCGATATATTTGAAATAAAAATTTGAA